GGCCTCACCACCTGCTGGAGTCTACCCAAACCCATGTACATTGACTTGGTGATGCCATCCAACCATCTCATCCTCTGTCATCCCCTTCTCCTCCTGCCGTCAATCTTTCCCAGCATCCAGGTCTTTTCAAATGAGTCAGTTCTTAGCATCAGGTGGCCAAAGTATTGGAGTTTCAGCTTCAACATCCGTCCCTCCAATGAACACCCAGGATTGATCTCCTTTAGGATGAACTGGTTGGATCTCCTTGCAGTCCAAGGGACTCTCAAGAGTCTTCTCCAACACCACAGTTCAAAAGCATCAATTCTTTGTCGCTCAGCTTTCTTTATAGTCCAACTCTCACATCCACACATGACCACTGGAAAAAGTATAGCCTTGACTAGATGGACTTTTGTTGACAAAGTAATGTCTCTGCTTTTTAATATGCTGTCTAGTTTGGTCATAACTTTCCTTGTAAGGAGCAAACGTCTTTTAATTTCATGGCTGCAGTCACCATCTGCAGTGATTTTTGGAGCCAAAAAAATAAAGTCAGCCACTGTTTCCACTGTTTCCATGTATTTGCCATGAAGTGATGGGACTGGATGCCATGATCTTCGTTTTCTGAATGTTGAGCTTTAAGCCAACTTTTTCACTCTCCTTTTCCACTTTCATCAAGAGACTCTTTAGTTCTTCACTTTCTGCCATAAGGGTGGTGTCATCTGCATATCTGAGGTTATTGATATTTCTCCCGGCAACCTTGATTCCAGCTTGTGCTTCCTCCAGCCCAGCGTTTCTCATGATGTACTCTGCATAGAAGTTAAATAAGCAGGGTGACAATATACAGCCTTGATGTACTCCTTTTCCTATTTGGAACCAGTCTGTTGTTCCATGTCCAGTTCTAACTGTTGCTTCCTGACCTGCATACAGGTTTCTCAAGAGGCAGGTCAGGTGGTCTGGTATTCCCATCTCCTTCAGCATTTTCCACAGTTTATTGTGATCCACACAGTCAAAGGCTTTGGCATAGTCAATAAAACAGAAATAGATGTTTTTCTGGAACTCTCTTGCTTTTTCGATGATCTAGCAGATATTGGCAATTTGATCTCTGGTTCCTCTGCCTTTTCTAAAACCAGCTTGAGCATCCGGAAGTTCTCGGTTCACGTATTGCTGAAGCCAGACTTGGAGAATTTTGAGCATTACTTTACTAGCGTGTGAGATGAGTGCAATTGTGCGGTAGTTTGAGCATTCTTTGGCATTGCCTATCGTTGAGATTGGAATGAAAACTGACCTTTTCCAGTTCTGTGGCCACTGCTGAGTTTTCAAAATTTGCTGGCATATTGAGTGCAGCATTCACAGCATCATCTTTCAGGATTTGAAATAGCTCAGCTGGAATTCCATCACATCCACTAGCTTTGTTCTTAGTGATACTTCCTAAGGCCCACTTGACTTCACATTCCAGGATGTCTGGCTCTAGGTGAGTGATCACACCATTGTGATTATCTGGGTAGTAAAGATAGTAAGTTCTAAACATATTACTAGAACTAGGCGGCTGGGAAAGAAAGGGAAGTATCAAAAATCACTTGTTACAGGGACTTCCCTGATGGTCCAGTGGCTAAAATTCCAAGCTCCCAATGCAGGGGGTTTGATCCCTGGTCAGGGAACTAAGATCCCACATGCTGCAAGGCATGGGAAAAAAATAAAATCTCTTGTTGTAATGGAAAAGAATCAAAGAAACAGAGAAACCCGAGCGGAAGTGACTCCATCCAATGGGTCAGAGCACAGAACTCAGACCAACAGCCTAGGATTCTGTACCCAAGATAATGGCGAATGTGTCAGGAGGTGGGCCTGGAAGGCTAACAATGGTGAGAAATGTTTAAATACACGGAAGAGTCTAGAGAAGGAGATAAAGATGGAACAACTGAAGGGCGAAGCTGAGAAATAGATGAAAACATGGGGGAGCCATGACAAAGAAACAAATATACATTAACTTGTTCATTTAAAGTATTAGCTTATCAAGAATTGTAACTCAAAACAGACCCATCACAGTAAGTCATTGCTACTCTTTGAATTGTTCAACTGCTCTAATTCTTGTATCTTCAAAGGGTCAGCTTCTACAGTTCACAGAAACAGAGGAAAGAGAATTATAATGCAGGTTTTTGGTGAAAGCAATTATACCTGTGGGCTGAAAGATGTCAAGCTGAGAACAGCTTGGATCGCCAAGAGCCAGTGTTCTCTCTTACGGACAGTATGGCCTTATCCCCTCCCTTTAATTCCCTATGTCTTAGCCTGAAAGATGTCAAGCTAAGATTCTTGACTCCTAAGCCTGGACTCCTAAGAGGATGTCTGGCTGCTTTTTCAGTTTGAAGCAAAACACCAGCAGCTTAGAGCTGCTATGGAGAGGAGTCTCACTGGTGGATGAGCAGGCCACCAGTGCCTGACTTTTAGCAGTCCACATTCACTATTAATAATGGTCAGTCAATATTTTAAACCATTGCACATTGGCACATTTTTTGTAATAAGTTATTGACTTTCCAAAGGCAGGACTTGATGCTGATCAGACCCTGCTGTCTTCTAGAAGTTCACCAGACATTAGTTTAGTGTGATAACATCTGACCAGCTTTCAAGATACTTTATTCTTCTTGGCTTCATGAGCCAAACCGTTGTGGTTCAAGGTATGTTCTCCTTAATGAAGATACTGATTGGAGTGTGTCGCTCCCATGAGCCCGACACAGATCACAACATTCTCCCCAAACAGCTGTCTTGAGGTTAACAGTTGACCTGGGCAGAGCTGTGATACAATTCATGGGGGTGGGGTGGGGGTGGGGGCTCCAAGGTGCAGGAAAAGGCATCATTTCACCTTTTATTTCTCCTGAAGTGTGGTCTTTCCCTCTTGCATGCATCTTGCTTATCTGTACGAAAAGTTAATAATGGTGCTGGGAGAGAGATGCCCTGACAAACCACCTCCTGTTTTCATGGATTTAACCAGCGTGAAGTGCCTGACTCTTCCGTGCTGTATCTCTCTGCCAGCCAACAAGACTGGCAGCCTGGGATGTGCCAAGTTCTTGGCTCTAAATTGCAAAACAAAGCAGTATAGGAGGGAATTTGTGAGTTAGCTGATTTGCAAACACTGCAGCAAGTCACCGTGTACACATTTGTTTATGTGTACCTATTATTTCTCCCAGGCAGCTACCTGGATGCCTTCCTGAGAGAATGTGCCGCTGCTCAAGTTACCAAGGCTTCCTTCATTCACGCTGAAATGAATGCAGCTTCTTTTGCATCATTTAACAAAAAGAAAGGTTTCATTAAAAAAGTCACAGAGCCTTTCAATAATTATTTGAGAAGTGTCCCCAGTGTCACTCAGAATCAACATCAGGTTAACAGGTGTGTCCATGAAGATGCCAAACAGATGGAGCCAACCTGGGAATTGAGATGCATGAGAAGCTATGCTGACACTTAAGGGGGGCTGGCTGAAATTTTCCTGACATGTTAGATGCACCCCAACTTTCTCCAAAAGGTGTGTGGATGTTCTTTCCATGCCCCCAACTCCAAATACGTTTTATTATCATCACATATCCAACAACAATGGACCTGACTGAATGGATGTGGAAAGCATCTTGACTCTTCACCATAAGCCTACAAAGCAGGTTCCTGCCTTTCCCCTCAATTTACAGTTGAGGAATCTGAGGCTTAGTTTGGTGGGGCAGCTTAGCTAGGTCCCCCAGGTGGTAGGCAGCAGAGCCACAATCTGAACACAGATGCACCTGACTCCGGAGCCTGTCTACTGTCAAAAGATGTTTAGATGACATCACAGAGCACTGGTTTTCCCTTCTTCATTTTCCAGAAAGATCTTTCCATTCAGCATGGATGTTTATTTCCAACTTCCAGTGCGGAAACACCAATTTGCTGGTAGAAAAGTGAGAGTTAAAATCAGGAAGTTTTGATAAAAATCAGAAAGAGAAGTAGCTCTCAGGGTTGTTTTTCTTTTTCCTTTTAACATTTTTCTAGTATTGCAGGGTGAGAAGTTCCTAACCCAGGAACTAGCGCTTGCCCCAGGCAGGATGACTTCGGTCATCTCAAAGAAAGGAAGGTTCATGCAATTTGTAAAGATCTTATTGAATCCTACCTACCCGGGAGGCAAATTATAACCCTCTTTTGCCTGTCTGAGGTTCTGCAAAATGTGTTGGAGCTTTTTAGAGGAAAGGTCCCACACAAATGCAAATTAATAACATTATAAATCAACTCAATTTCCATAAGGATAACCACTTAACCCAACAAAAAAAGAAAAAACAACACACACACACACATAAGGCCCCAGACTATGACAGTCTTTGTCAGAAAATATATTTATTATTGATAGTGAGTGAAGTAAAGATGTTGGTATTCATGATAGAGGAGAGGTTGCAGAAGCTAGGTTGCCTTTATGTTTATAAAAAAATGCCTTATTTCACTTGTAATCAGAAACATTATTCCAGTAAGAGAGGTACATTTTCTCTTTTTGTCTTCTTACATGATCACCATAATAAGTTAAAATAAAGTAGCTTTTAGACAGTCAAGGCAGAAAAGGAAAAGGGAGAATCCTGACATGCCACAGTGGAGCCAATTCCGCCAACACTGCTGGCCGGAGATGGAGGGAATCTGGCCTTCTCTTCTCCCCACTCCAGGGACCTCAGCCCTTGATTCCAAGCCCCGGCTCTGTGTGAGCCCAGGTTCACCAAATGATGGAGCCTGGTTAGAAGGGGAAGTTGAATAGAAAGTACACACGGTGGAGAGGGCTGCCTTTCTTTCTAATCATCATAAATGGGGTTTATTAACACTGCGCCATGTCCTTGGCAGATGATCCCTGATCTAGGCCTTGGCTTTGCAAACAGCTGCTGATCAAACCGTGATACGCTTCTGCTGAATTTGCTCTCCGATGTTTCTCTGTAATGATCTTCTCTTTAAATGGGTTGCTTTCTTACTAGGGAAAAAAAAATGTTCCACCTCTGGAATTAACGTTGAAGGAATTTTCCTTCTTCTAAGAGCTGATTTTATCCTCCCTTCTCAAGCATGCTCTGCAAGAGAAAGAGAAAACGTAAGATTTACCACCAGAAGGAGGGGACCAGAAATGGGCAGGAAGTACATAGCACTGTTTGTGTTGCTTTTCAAAGATCCACCTCAAAAACGTGTATAGGAAGGCATATGCTTCCGAGCCTCGAAATAGGACTACCTCTAATGAACACCACTACTGAATTATGAATAATCTCCAAATAAGCCCTCCCCCCACCATATCCAACTGAACCCTAAGGGTGAACCCGGCCTGGCCTGTGAGGGAAAGGGTACGGGGGCAGCGTGGGTGCTGTCTCACTACCCTGGACATTTGGGGATGTGTGGGAGCTTTCTGGTGGCATGGACTAGGAGAAAGCTATTGCCAAGGGGGCAAGGGCAGTGGGGTGGGGCAGAGAGGGCATCTCTCAGTTAAAAGTCAAGATCCTGTCCCTTAAACTTCTGCTCACTCGAGGCAGGGTTCAGCTATTCATGAACTCACAGTGCTGGGTGGAGCTACACACATCTAAGTAAGTATTCCCACATTTCAGAAACGGCCCCTACATTCTATTTAGTTATCTGTGTGGGTGGGTGTGAGGAACAGTACACAGGAAGAATTCTTTTTTCCCCAGCTTTATTGAGAATTAATTGACATGCATCACTGTATAAGGTTTAAGGTATACAGCATTATGGTTTGATTTACATATGTTCTGAAATGACTGTCACAATAGGTTTCGTTAATGTCCATTATCTAATATAGATACAATAAAAATAAAAGACACAAATTATCCTTGTACCGAGAACTCGAAGATTCACTTTCTTAACAACGTTCCTATTTCATAATGCAGTGTTACTCATTTCTAGTACTTATTTATCTTATAACTGGAAGTTTGTGCCTCTGACCACCCTCCTCCAACACCTCCACCACACCACATCCCCGCAACACCTGCCACCTCTTGTAATCTGTCTTTTTCTATAAGCTTGGTGTTTTGATTTTTGCTTATAGATTTGACATAAAAGTGAGATCATACAAACTTGTCTTTCTCTGTCAAATTTATTACACTTAGCATAATGCCTTCAACATCCACCCACGTTGCAGCAAATAGTAGGATTTCCTTGGGGTTTTTTTTGATAGCTGGATAATATTCCACTGTACCACAACTTCTTTATCCATTCATCTACTGATAGATACAGGTTGTTTTTATGTTTTGACCACTGTAAATAATCCCACTATGAACATGGGAGTGCAGATGTATTTTTCAAGTTAGTGGTTTTTTTCCTTTGGATATACTCCCAGAAGTGGAATTGCTGGATGATATAATAGTTCTATTTTTAATTTTCTTAGGATCCTCCATACTGTTTTCCATAGTTACTACACCAATTTAATAATCCCACCAACAGTGCACAAGGGTGCCCCTTTCTCCACATTTATGCAGTATTTGTTATCTCCTGTTTCTTTGATGATGGCCATTCTAACAGGTATGAAGTAATATCTCATTGTAATTTTAATCTGCATTTCCCTGGTGGCTAGTGATATTGAATATCTTTTCATGTATCTGTTGGCCATTCATATATCTTTGAACAAATGTTTATTAAGATCCTTTGTCCATTTTTTAATTGGATTTTTCTTTGCTACTGAGTTGCATGAATTCTTTATATTATTTTGGACATTAACCCCTAATCAGAAACATGGTTTGCAAATATTTTTTTCCCATTCTCTAAGTTGTTTTTTCACGTTTGTTGTACACAAGCTTTTTAGTTTGATGTAGTCGCACTTGTATATTTTGTTGCTTGTACTTTAGGTACAATTTCCAAAAACTAATTACCACTGATGTTATTGAACTTTTTATCCTGTTTTCTTTTAACAGGTTCATGTTTTCTTTTACTTCAGTGTTTAATCAATTTTGAGTTAATTTTTGTGAGTGGTATATGACCGGGGTCTAGTTTTCATTCCTTGACACATGACTATCCAATTTTCCCAGTACCATTTATTGAAGAGACTTTCTCCATTGAATATTCTTGGCTCCCTTATCAAACATTATTTGATTGTATGTGCTTGGGTTTAATTCTGGGCTCTCAATTCTGTTTCACTGGTCTATGTGTCTATACCATAGATAGCACCACACTGTTTTAATTATTATAGCTCCAGAGTATAGTTTGAGATCAGGACATATGACACCTCCTGCTTTGCTCTTCTTTCTCAGGATTCCTTTGGCTATTCATGGTCTATTGTGGTTCCAAAAAATTTTAGAAGTGTTTTTTTTTCTTTTTTTCGTATATATATATATATATATATATATATATATAAGCATTGAAATCTTGATAGGGACTGCAAAAAATCTATAGATGACATTTGTTAGTATCGCCATTTTAGAAGCATTAATTCTTCCAATTAATGAATACCTTTCTATTTATTTGTATCATCTTTGATTCCTTTCATCAATGTCTTATAGCTCTCAGAGGAGAGCTATCTGATCTCCTTGATTAAAAATATTCCCAAGCATTTTATTGTTTTTTTAATGTTACAGTGAAGTGAAGTGAAAGTCGCTCAGTCGTGTCTGACTCTTTGTGACCTCATAGACTATACAGTCCATGGAATTCTCCAAGCCAGAATACTGGAGTGAGTAGCCTTTCCCTTCTCCAGGGGATCTTCCCAACCCAGGGATCGAACCCAGGTCTCTTGTATTGCAGGTGGATTATTTACCAGCTGAGCTACAAGGGATAGATGGGATCAATTTCTTTTTAAGAAAATTCACTGTTTTGTATAGAAACACTACTGATTTTTATAAGTTAATTTTGTATTCTGCAGCTTTATTGAATTTGTTGATCAATTCTAACAGTTTTCTTGGTTAGGTTTTCAGGATTTTCTATATACAAAATCCTAAACAAATGAACAAAAATTCTTAATGATCAGATTAAAACTTTAGCTAGCTGGGGCTAGAGATAAACTGTCTCTATTTTTTAGGACACTTTAAGAAGACAAAAGTGATCCTTTCCTCTTTAGTTTTGAAATTACTCAAGAAGAAGAGTCTGGGTCAGGCCCAAGATTGCCTCTGATTTGTTCATGCCGTCTTCCTTCCATCCCTCACACTTCCAGCCACTTATTCACGTACCCAACTTCTTAACCAAGCTCCCACTAGAGACTCATTATACTGAGTTAGGTGATATGAGGAAAGAGGCATAATAAAGAGTAATAACTTTAAAAAAAAAAGAGTAATAACTTACTGTTTTAAAAAATAATATGCTAAATAAGTTAAAATTTTATTTTACTGAATAAATGACACATGTACACAGTATAAGATTCAAGAACAAAAGAAAACATAAGACAAAGTCATTTTTTCCCTTTCTCCTATTTCCCAGTATTTCGTGTACTCTTCCAGAGAAGGTATTAGTTCAAAAGCAGAGTGGCACTGCCTATTTCAGAAGTAGATAACTCTTTGCAGCTGGAGTGTTCAAGGAAGGTGCCTCAGATGAACTTCCACTATGGACAGAATATACAGACAGAAGGACTGGAGATGGGGAGGGATGAGGCAGGGAAGAACTGGTAAAGACTCAAGAGGAGGGGATAAACCCATTATGCATGGGATGAAGAAGGGAGGAGAGACAGGCCCAGCTAGCGGAAAGGACAGACACTCAGGATGTACCAAGGAAAAGAGTATAAAAAGGGCCCCCTGTGAATGTCAGGCTGGGATTCATCCTTGTTGGCCACTGAAAAAACTTGGGAATCCAAAAAATTTTTTTGGTTCTTTTTGGACAGGAAAATGTCATTTAGGAAGGTTACCCTGACATCCTTAGCACAAAGCCTTCAGTGGAGAAGTGTGTGGAGGCAGGAAAACCAGGAGGAGGCAGTTCAGAAATGAAGCTAGGGTGGGAACAAGAAATAGTGATAAAAAGACAATGGAAGTCTCTTTTTCTGTTTTGCACATAGGGTTATCGTTACCATCTTTCTAAATTCCATATATATGTGTTAGTATACTGTAATGGTCTTTATCTTTCTGGCTTACTTCGCTCTGTATAATGGGCTCCAGTTTCATCCATCTCATTAGAACTGATTCAAATGAATTCTTTTTAATGGCTGAGTAATATTCCATGGTGTATATGTACCACAGCTTCCTCATCCATTCATCTGCTGATGGGCATCTAGGTTGCTTCCATGTCCTGGCTATTATAAACAGTGCTGCGATGAACACTGGGGTGCACGTGTCTCAGACTTGTGGACTCTGGGAGAAGGCGAGGGTGGGATGTTTCAAGAGAACAGCATTGAAACACGTATATTATCTAGGGTGAAACAGTTCACCAGCCCAGGTTGGGTGCATGAGACAAGTGCTCGGGCCTGGTGCACTGGGAAGACCCAGAGGGATTGGGTGTAGAGGGAGGTGGGAGGGGGGACCGGGATGGGGAATACATGTAAAAAAAAAAAAAAAAAAAGATACATTATGGTTGTGATAAAAAATAAATAAATTAATTAATTAAAAAAAAAAAAGACAATGGAAGTGGGGTGGGAAGCAATGACGAGACCTTAGGCATGAATGCTCCTCAGTGACAGGGAGAAAGGTGGTGTGACCAAAAGATACAGGGAAGTCAGCGGGAGGAGTCATTTTGGGAATAAGGAAGACGACTTTAATTTTGGGTCTGGGACGATGATGCAACATCCCAGAAGGAAAGGTCCAGAGGGAAGTTGCGGGCTTGGGAAAGAGCTCAAAGGTCTTTAGAGATAAAGATTTAAGGATAGAGGTGAAGAAAGGAGACTGAAATAAAGGGGATGAAGAGGAAAAGGAGGACAAATAAGCATCCTGGGTCAAAGGAGCACAGGGTGAAGAGCATACCCTAAAGGTTATCCTAAAGTGTCCATGATGACAGGTTTCTAAGAAGCCAATGTCCACGGGGCATGAAAAATATAAAAGCAGTGTGTAGAGGACGCATATAGAGATGCTCAGAAAAGACAACGATGCAGTCAAGAAGGACGTGAATCAGAAGAGCCAGATGCGTCTAGAGAAAACTGGAAAGACAAAGCAGATCAAGTAGAAGA